TTGATGGTCCGTGTCTCATGTGAATGCGTCCTGCTTTGCTTGTCTCGTCAGTCCTGATTTCTCCCAGCTGTGCCCTCCTTCTGTGTCTCATTCCCCTCGTTACTTCCCATTCCCCTCGTTACTTCCCAGTGTATTTAAACCCTGTGTTTCTCTGAGTCAGTGTCGCGTTGTCCCTCATGCTGTGTGGATCTACCTGTGTCTCTCTGTGAGTTTTCTAAGTTCCCAGTTTAGATTAGTTTATGTTTTTTCCCTGCCAGCAAATAAAGCTGAGTTTTGAGTTCACCTCCCTGAGTCTGTGAGTCCTGCATTTTGGGTCCGACTCCTGCCTGCCGCACAGCGATTCATGACAGACATAGTGTTTTATATACTCATTGCAAGGATGTGTCCTTGTTGTGGAGTTCAACTGATGATGACTTTCTTTTTCTAATATGCTTAACTCAGATGAACACACTGGGAGCTGAATGAACTTAATATGTTAACATGGTGAGAATTTAATGAATGCACAAAGTACACACAGCTGCTATATCATGGTACATAGAAAAAATCTGGTTAAAACTATTAATAACGAAAATATTATGCACTTTAAAATGATTGAATTGTTTTTACTTACCTGATGTTTTCTTGTTTGAGGTATGGTTTGATTCAGGCTTTTGACGTTTTGGAACTTCTGAAGTGAAACAGAAACATTAAAAAAGAAAATCGTGTTTTTGCATTTTTCATGCACTCATAACAAAATCACACATTGTCATCTCTACTCATGCCATGCTCTTAGGTCACACTAATTGTGGGATTCTGATTAATTACCGTCACACATACCACATCAGTGATTTAGTTACCTGATGGTGGGGTTACAGGAGTGGTATTATTGGAAGCACTGGGATTGCTGAGACTCAGTTGTGCTGCATAAATACATAAAAGGTTTGTTTGTTTTTAATCTAAAGAAAACATTCACAATGTTCTGTATGTTACTTAGATGTGTAGTCTCTCTTACCTGTGATCATGCATTCTTTTGCCAAAATATCTAAAAATAAAAAAAATAAAAAAGTGTTTATGTGTATAAAAATGAATGTCTATGTTTTGATGGGTGATTTTGTTGGTTGGTTTTCTTGTGTTTGCCTGCGGTGCATTGGGAGTCATCTGCTGGGTATTTAAGAAGCAGCGTGACAGCTCTCGGGTGTCGGATTGTTGTCTCGGCCTTAAGTGGTAAATCATCAACCTGCTTCTATGTACAACTTTGATTTGCACGACATTCACGGATCGTCATCTCTTCTGCTTCACTGCCCAGCCATTCTCAGTCTGGAGTTATCCTGGCTAACTCTCCAAGCTACCTCCCTGCTCACCTGCGCTGCCTGGGGTCCACGTCGTCCCCACTTCAATGTCCAGCCTTAAGTACCTCGCCCAAGTCTCTAGTAAATGTGTGGCAAGTAAGCTCTCTAACTTATTCCTTGTGCAGTCTCTCGTAACTCCTTTGCTTCGTTTCTACAGGTCGCTTAACTGCGTTTTCTCCTTTCCCCCTCCGGACAGTTTGAGTTCTCTGTACAGACAGAACTGTCATGTTTGTTAAACTGAACTACAAACATTAATTGAAATGTTTGTAGTCCCAGATTTAAATCTAGTGGGGAGTCCCACTAGGTTTAAATCTGGGACTCCCCACCATTTGACCTTAGAACTGAAGAAGCTTCTCGGATGAGAGGTGAAATGTCTTCAAGCAACTGAAAGAAGTCCAGACGCTTTTCTTTGCAAGCTCCTTTGTCTACGATGACCTGGATGACTGAGAACCTTCACAGACATTAATTGAAATCCTGAAATTCAGGATCTTTTTCAGAGCCAGAGGAAACACTAAGTGACTGCAGAGATGAGGTTTTCATATAACACCTATAAAACAGGAAATTAACAAAAATACACAGCGTCTTTAATAGTAAACACACATTCATTTAGAAACTGCATTTTGAGACTACTTGTGTTTTCTTTGTCTAATATTTACATTTGTTTGAAAAATGGGAAAACAGGAAGGTTTTTAGACCACTGCATGTCTTTGTAAACTACCCCTTCTTGGGAAATGACAACAATGGTTGAATATTAAAAACTGATGAGATCTGTGTAGGAGATCAGAGAGTTGTGACCAAGTAGAATATTAATGATTTCATGTCAACCTCAGCTGCAGCCTTGCTCACCACTAGCACATGCTGGGCTCAATGCTCAACACTGAGCATTTACAACTATTTACAACTCTTACAAAAAGGCTTACTAAGAGTTTAACCATAGCTGAACTGTGACTTTATTCACATCTTCTGGCACAGCTGCACTCTTATAACCACCAGTTCCAATAATTTTGAATTTTAATGGACAAACAGGCTGAAATTCAATAAACTGAACAGAATTCAGTCAAATTAATCAGATCAACTACAAGAAAAGATGGAATAATTATACAGCAACTATGACACACTTTGTAAAGTTATGTCAACTTCAACATTCGGTGGCAGTTTATTTAATTAATGTTTCATTAATCTCAAAAGTAGCATCATATACACTAAAACAGGTTATGTTATGTTTCTCTTTAACTTACGTGTCAAGCTGTATCGATCACTGCGAGGTGACAAAGAGTTGGGTTCATTTTCCAAACTGTAATCACAGCTGGCATCCTTTTGTTGAACAAGAAGTAGATGCTTCAAAAAATCAGCAACTGGGACATAAAACTGGCAGAACCTCTGTTTGCTTTTTCTGCTGCTTTCCTTGGAGACAGCTAGATTTCGGACTGGACGTCTTGCTTCTCCAAAGTACAGATTACATCTTGTATCATCTTTCACAGATCCAGGCAGTAAGCAAGTGATGAGAACATGGTCCCCATCAAAAGGCTGAACGCTCATCTCTGGTTTCTGACCTGCATGAAGATCAATGGAGTATCATTAAGAATCACTTCATGTTTCAACAGTGCAATAATAAAACAGTGTTGACATTCACAGATGTCCTACTGTAAAGCTGAGTCATCATGTTTTATAATTTACATTAACATACATGTGTGTAATGTTAGGAGAGTTTAATCTAAACTGAAATGACAAACTGTCTGTCACTTCGTACGCTGACAAAGACTGTGTTACTGTGTGAAGAGGGAGAATTCACATCTGCATACTGCACAGCGTAAAAACATCTCACTTTGCCCTCAGAGGGTGACCTCTGATGTGACACTAACAGCAGTTCAGTTCCTGTCTGTGTCTGTAAACGTGAGAAACCTTTGATAGTTTCTTGCTCCCCTGTATAAAATAACCTAAACATATTGAAGCAGATGATGGTGGCTGACAGTGACTGAGTCTGTCTCTGAGATCACTGTTGCATTGGTCCAAGACACGCTAAACAATAAGAGGTAAAGAGGCGTTTTATCAAAAATATAATTGTTAAATATGACAGTGAGAAATTATGATTTCAGTAAAGAGCAACTCATTAGAAGAAAAACATGTTAAATCCTAAAAGAACAGCTTGAAATTAAAATTGTAAATTGTGGACTGACCTTGTCCTTGAAGCTCAGGTGAGGAAACTGTCAGAAAAAAATGACAAACTAAATATAAATATTAATAATTTTTAAAAATATCAGTAAAATGTAGACACTTTTTTTTATTGTATCAGAGTCCAGATAGAAGTCAAGATCAATTTAATTTAACACAAGGAAATTTGTCTTGGTCTCCATGCTGAATTTTCTCAATACAAATAAAATACAAATAAACAAAACAAACACACACTGCACAAACACTCAACACAAAACCAGCCATCAAAAATTATTGATATATAAAATGCAAAAACTTCCAGGATGTTTAACTTACTCACGAAGATGACAAATAACAGGAGTCCAGACATGATGAAGCTGAAAACTACAGCTGTCCAGAAGTCTGACTGATACACTCGATCAATCATTTTGCAGAACTTACACAGAGTAAAACCACAGGAAGTAACAGTGCTGAAACTCCCACATAAAGACCACAAGCTACACAGTGAACAGGCTTTTGAAAGTGCCAATATGTTAGCCTGAGCTAAAACCACAGGAAATAAAGAAAAGGAGAGCATGTTTTGCACCATTTCTGTTGCTGTGGGTGAAAACATGCACAAACACAAGCTTAGTATAATTATGTTGTTTTTTAATTCTGCATTCATTTCCACAACAGCTTTCAAGGTTCATAGTCTCTGTGCTGCTACTTTTTTGTCTTTTGGATTTTTTCTTTGTTTGTTTTTATGCACTAAATAGCCATTACATTAGGTACAACTATTCAACCGCTTGTTAATGCAAATATCTAATTAACTAATCAAATGAAGCAACTCAGTTCATTTAGGCATGTAGACCAGATCAAGACGACCTGCATAAGCTCAGCTTGAGCATCACAATGATGAAGAAAGGTGATTTGAGTGACTGAAAATAATTCAGCTTAATTTTATTTATATCGTGCCACACTTATGTCTTCATGTTCAATCTCCTCCCTGCTTTATTTTTGAGCACCTGCAAGTAAGAGAACCACATCTTAAAATTATGATTTGGTGCAATATGAATTAAACAAATCTAAATTTTATTCTGTTCTTGTATAAATATGACATGATGTACTTCCTCATCTACTGTAGGCCAATTATCGCATGTCTCCCCTCACTCTCCCAAAATTTCTGTCATTTCATTGTTACTATCTAATTGTGGCAAAAAGCCAAAAAATAATCTAGTATAGATTCTAGTAGAATCTGATACTGTGCCAATTCAAGTACGCATCAAACTGAGAACGTGAAAAATTCCCAGATGTGGTCTCACTCTTCCACTTTTATCAAGCATGCATCGTTGGTGACTTGTGTGTACTTGGGACAGCCATATATCCCAGAATGCATTTCGTCCAAAACTCAAGCGCGGCAATGGTGAAGAAGCACAGCTAAAAACTTTTAAATATTACTCTTTCTGGGTCACAAAATAAACTTTTAAGTTATTTTCAGCGAGAATGCAGCTGTGTAGACTTCAGATATTTGCTTGATTTATCAAGACATCACATATTTGCAAAAGTGCTCGTTTTCAGAGACAGCTGTTACCCTCCAGCTTGATAACAGGTTGTAGGTTGCTTTGCTTTCACTCTTCTGTCTGGTTCAACTGAAACCAGCTCAATGGGGTTTAAGTCTGGAGACTGTGCTGGCCACTCCATGTTTTCAAGCTCACCATCTTGTTCTTTTTTCCTGAGGTGGTTCTGGCATAGCTTGGATTTGTGTATTGGGCCATTATCTTGCTGTAGTTTGAACCCCCGACCAACTAGATGCATACCAGAGGGTATTGCAGAATGCTGGGGTAGCTATTTTAGTTCAGGGTGCCTCTCACTCTGTACAAGTCACTGACCCTGGATCCAGCAACACAGCCCCAGATTATCACACTTCCTCCTCCATGTTTGATAGTTGATGTCACACACTGGAACCACCCTTTCGCCTTTTCAAAGGCGCACAAAGATCCTGCGTTATAAACCCAAGATTTCATATTTTGATTCATCAGTCCAAAATACCTTCTTCCAGCATTGCTTCTAACGGAGAAAGTCTCAAGGGATGGCTACTATGAGGAAAGGCAGCCCAGAAGCTTTATCAGCGGGACACATCATCAGTTGTGTCCCTCAACTTTGCAGGGTATTTTGTCCTTTTATCACAAATTATTCTACTAATTTTTATTTTTAAATTTCTTTTTAAATTCCTTAGTTAGTTATTAGCAGTAAGTCAGTAAAACATTTTTGCTCTGGTTGTAAGAGCTAACATTGCCAGCATCTATCAGTGAAGAAGTGCTCGAATACTTACACACACGCACACACACACACATACAAAGTTTGTATAATTATGTTCTAGGTGCATTTCGTTATTCATTTCCACAATAGCACTAGTCTCTGTGATCGTTTTTTGTTCTTTTGGATTTTTTGTTTGTTGCGCTGAATAGACGTTACACTGTTAAACCACTTGCAAATGCAAATATCTGCCAATCAAACTTAGTAACTCAATAATCAAGACAATTTGTAGAAGTTCAACTCCTGGAAAAGGCCAGGACCAGAAACTGCTGGCCTACCGCTCCTCAGCGTACAGTGTCCTCTCCTACTGCCTGTGTCACGGCTGCGGCAGGAGGCAGGAGGGAAACACAGCTGGGAGAAATCAGAGCTGACTAGACAAGGTAAGCAAAACAGAATACACTAACATGAGACACAGACTTTCTATGTTAAACAGGAACTATAACACAGAGACGTGGACTTGACACTGAGACTGAGAGACATGACTGACCAGGGAGGCAAAGGGAACCACCCCAGGAGGATCTGGTGATGGCCACCCCTGGAGGCCATCAACAGATCCTCCTGTCTCTGGTAAACCAGGCCCTTCACAGGTGACACTTTGCACCCCACCCAGCACCTGTTTGACCCGCTGCCCTCTGGTCAGCGCCTCGGGTCTATCAGGTCCCACACCTCCAGACTCACAAATAGCTTCTTAAACTGTCTGCCAACAACCATATCCCCCCCACACCCCACCCTGCTCACCTTACCTCGCCAATTTGAGCCAATTTGGTCTGAGTAACCTTCATCACTCAGGCCACTTACACATGGACCTTACACAGACCAAGTCTTTTCTTTGCACCATCTCCACGCACTTTGCAACTATTTTGTTCTCCAATGTGTGCCTTTGTCTTATTTTTGTATACATTCCTCTTGATTTTATATATTTCTCCTGTTTGCTATTTATCCCTACTGTCTACTATTTACAATTTATTCCGACACAGTTGGTGTGGAGCACCTACTGTTTCGTTTTACATGTACAATGACAATAAAGGGCTATTCTATTTTATTCTATTCTATAATGGGGAAGAAAGGTGATTTGAGGGACTACTCAAAACACTAATTTCATTTTAATTTTGAATATAAATTTAAAACTAAAACAACTAAAATTGATACTCGGTACTTTGTTTGGCCTCCAGTTGCTTGTATGCATGCCTGACAACATCAGGGCATACTGCGAATGAGAAGATGGATAGTGTCCGGTTGAAGCTTCAAGATCTCGACAGGGCACTGTTGGACCGTCTGATGGTGGACTGAAACATCGATGGGCTGAAACATAATGTCCCAGAGGTGTTCTGTTGGATTTAGCTGAGGGGAGTGTGGGTGCCAGTCAGTCGTATCAAATCTTTCATACTCCAAGAAATGCCTGCATACTCTAATGACATAAGGCCAGGCATGTAGATTTCAAATGATCTACATTGTTTGTTTTAATAAATTTTCATCACTAGATGGCGGTGTTTAGCAAAAATGTGTAATTGTAGCTACGCCTGCAGAAAGCATTTAGAATGAGATCATAGTGTTGTAGTGGTTAGATCTATTTTGTAAGGAGGTTCAAACCACAGTTGGAGCCTTTCTGAAGAATTTGTTTGTTCAAACACATAAGCCACAGGTGTGAACATGAGTGGAAATAAACTCTATTCTCTTTCTCTCTCATTGTTTTTGCATTGTTTTTGGAGAGCAGTTGAGGTTAGCGTCATAAGGAGTGGATGGAGCAACTTTGATGTATTAAGAAAAAACTTCCTGTGACTGCCCCGTTTGTCTGATAGAAAATGTTGTCAAACATTTGCATTAATAATTAATGTTAGCTTCGATTTTTGGAGTCTAGACGAGATTTTACCATTTTCATTATCGCCATCTTTAAAAGCAATGTCTCCAGTACTGGAGTTTTCTGGTAGTTTCCAGTTTTTATTGTTTCCAACCATGTTTTCTACCTAAGAGTTGGTGCTGGTTATGATCATTTCCACCATTAGATTCATAAGATTTATGTGTCATTCTGTTACATCTGGGTTTCATCAGCATTTCATCTTCTTCTCCTGTTTGCGCATGAAAGACTCCACCCACTAACTACTCCATCTCATGGCTCAAAGTGGTGTTACACAAGATTGCAGGTTGGACCTTTTTGCAGAAAGTTTAAACAGTCCAGTGTCTGACTTTCACAGCACTGCATGTTTGCATACCTGTGATCCTTTCTCCTGATTCTGAACTGTAGGTTTGAGATAAACAGTAAAAATTGTTTAAAATTTTAAAAAAAATTGAATATCTATAATAATTTGGCTAATCTCACTGATTTCTAAAAAGAAACACTTTTCCTTTATTTCTTTTTTCTACCACCAAAAAAAGTTGTTTTTTTGGGGGGGGTTTTAAATTCCAGAAAAACAACATAAAAAATGCACAGTTCAGGATGCAATGACTTAGGACATAACTGTGTCTCTTTTACTATATGTAGAGAGAAAGTAAATTGATTTCTGCAATTTGTAATCAAAACACATTGTTTGCATAATCAAAATAAACACATCACGTGACCCCCTATCTGATTTCTACTGCACCACAAACTGCAACATTAAAAAAAAAAAGAAAACAAAATGAACAACACTATATGCTTGAACGTAAATGCTCCCCAGAGAGTGAAAACTCTAAAACACTCTGGAGTTGAAATTGTAATGCCCAGAAAGAGTAAAATCCAAAATGATATTTAATAAATTCAATAACTGACCAAATGCAGACACATTAAAACTATTAAATTTATTATATTGTCGATTACAAGTGAAAGCCCAGATGAAGGTGCATTGCATTTGTCACACCGAGGAAATACGTTTTGGACAATTTTTTAGTAAATTAATAAACAAAATAGAGCAACAACATAGACAGTGATAAAAATTTCTTCAGGAGGTTTGGCTGCCACATGAAGATGACAACAGTAGCTGTACATGATGAATATGCAGTACTGAACACTATAACAGTAGTATTCAGTACTGCATACACTTTTCAAAACCCATTCACACTAAAAACCACGGGAAACAACAGCACTGACACATTAAGGCCACAAAGATGCACAAAGAACAGCTTTGCATAAATATCTATACATGTTGGACTGAGATAAAAGAACCACAGGGAGGATGAAATAAAGATAAAATGAGCATGTTTGTACATTACTTTGACTTTGTCTGGGTAAAAGGCCTCACTATCTGCAAACACACACACACACACACAACTTTGTAAAATTATATTTATATCTAATGGGCTTCAGCTTTCTTAGGTAAAATGCCTTGTTGATGCCAGAGGTCAGAGGAGAATGGCCAGGCTGCTTCAAGTTTACAGGAAGGCAACAGCATCTCAGGTTTAAATGTTTCAGTGTGCCTGCAGCATGCTGTACGTCATATCGTGTGGGACTGGTGTAGCTCGTTCCTCAGAGATGGTGGCGTATGCATGATAAACATCAGACTGGAGAAAACAGACAGTCCTTTAAGTCTGCAGCATCTGTTAAGCTCAGAAAAGATATTCTGCACCTCAGGTGTCACTTACCTCATCGTGTTTAAACTCTTCTCTGTTCAATTTCTCTGCACCTGCAAGTAAGAGAATCACATCCTAAAATTACTTTCAGTCAGGCAGATGCAGCTGCATTCACTGCATGTGATTCCCCTCTCACTAAAGTCAAAAGTAAATCTTGGGAAAAAACAAAAACTTAAAAACATTGTCTTGTAGCTTTATATCATGAATTTGTCATTTTATTCTTAGAAATGTGTACATCTAAGAGTCTTCAGCGCTCAGATACGTTCAAATTAAATGAATAATATGGAAAAGGTTTATTTTATGATTTTTACTGTTGTTGGGCTTTTTTCATATGATTACAAAAAGGAAACGACCTGTGTTATGCTAAAGGGTGAACGTTTGCAGGCAACGTGTTGTCTCTGTCACTTTGACAGTGAATCATCAAAAATATAGAGGGTCACTGTTTTATCTGTAACATTCATTCCTTATATCTGGCTGTTCTATGAGTCATATATGGGTGTTTTTGTGTATGTAATCCAGATTGTGTTTACATATTCTTGCATGATTGTTCTTCATAGATAAATATTAAATTTAAGTTTATAAACCTAAACTTTTAAGTGAAAAACTTAATATAAAGTTTTTCACTTAATTTTAAAACACATATTTCATTAACTATACATAACCAATGTAATTTACAGCCTTTATATAAAGCCCCCTACAGATACAGTAGGTGTTGAGGTTTCTACCCCCTGCTATACTATCGTACTGTCATTATATTAATGCTGCTATCCTGTATATATCGTACTTACTATTGTTTGAGTACTTGCGATTGTTTTATTGTACTTTTTATACTTTTTTTTATTTTACATTTATATTTATTATTGAATCTTGCACCAAGGGAGCAGCACTCCAATTTCGTTGTACTCTGTACAATGACAATAAAGGCTATTCTATTCTATTCTATTTTATCACCACTGGTACACGTTCACACAGCTATGCTATGATTACACCATGATTTTTTTTT